AGAAAAAAAAAAACAAACCTGAGAAAATCCCTGGGACTCAGTGCTCCTGCAGCAGCCATGGTGCTTGGGGTGGGGGGGCTCGTGCAGAGTCCCCCATGTAGTACAGGGCAGTGGAGTGCAGTGGGGAATCACCCCCCACTGGCAGGAACCATGAGTGCAGGGTTTTTCTCATTTTTATTTTTCTTAAAGGGCCGGAACCATGGCAGGCAGGGCAGCCATGGGAGTGCTGGAGGAGCAGGGGGCTCATGCGGAGCCCCCTGTGCAGCGTGGGGCAGTGAGGGGCAGCGGGGATTGCCCCCCACCTGGCAGCACCTGCTGAGTCGGGGCTTTTTTTTCTTTTAAAGTGCCGGGAGCTGGGGTGGGCAGAGCAGCCACTGCTGGGCTGGGAGAGCAGGTGGTGGATGGGCGTGGCTGATTCGGAGATTCAGCTGAATCGATTTGGGGCAGTGATTTGAATCACCGAATCAAATCACTGTCCCCCTGAATCATCCGAATCCAAAGCGAATACTAGCTGCCTTGCACAGGCCTAGTATGCATAGCTAATTAAGTGACACATTTCATATCTACAAAGAAGAATCTAGTCCAATTCAGCTCTGAGGTTTTCAGTGAAACAAAGAAATGTAAATAAAGCCGATCTGGGACCTTTGATTAAAATTATTAAGATCTTGTTTACCAGCCATCCATAAATAGGGGATGTGACTGGAAGGAAGTTGGAGGGTAACTCTTCTAACAACGTGTGTGGGACTGCTGTGCGTACCAAGATTCTCGACTGATGAAACGCTGAACGACGACTTTCCCCCCCTGCTGTGGAGACTGTTGGTCAAGACTCTCCCACAAGATTATATGTAACCTTGGCAATTATACGTAACCTCTGCCTTGTTCTTGTCAAGTAATCAATAAACTTCTCACATTGGTTGGAATGACCCAAGGGTCTGTTTAAATTATTTTTCACTCTTACCAACTTGCACACTGTCAACGTGTCTGGCTTTGGGAATGACTTTTCCCGCGATTCCCGCCTGCCACTACTTTGATCTTTGCTAATTTCTGGGGAGGAAGAGATCTTAAGCGTCAGTACCCGCGGGAAGAACCACGCTGTCTTGATATCAGGTTAACGAGCCTTTTATTGTTTACAGCTGGTTTCACTTTGACCCTGAATGCCCTGCGTGAGGGCCAATTACCAGGATCCACCAAGAAAGTACTTGGGGATGGTTACAGGCTGTAGGTTAGCAGTTAATTGACCATCTGCTGCTAATTATCCTATTAGCGGTCAATTGACACCAGAGCCGGGGATTCCCTCTGGCCCCGGCTTGAGTTTGCAAATGGAGTGTCTTTCTCCTGAGCCCTCTGCTAGCTCTGCTTTTATCTCTCTTTCTCTCTCTCTCTTTTCCTCTGCTGATCTCAACCACCTCGGGACCGCCGCCTGTCGCCTCTTCCCTCTTTCGTCCCCGTGACTCACCACTGGAGCGGGTTCTTCAGGTAGGTAGCGACCTGCCGGGTTGTGGCAATCCCGGTTTCTTGTCGTCAGAGGTGATAGCAGTCTCTATCCCTGTCGGTGCTTCTCAGTTTCTCCTGAGCAACCTCCTCGGTCCGACTTCCATCTCAGTCCGTGCCCACAGGCAACTCTGGGCAATCTTCTCTCCCTCTTATTCTTCCTTCTGGGTCCTTATTGGTTTCCTGGGGTAGGGTGTTTCCTGTTTCCCAGCTGCGCTATTCCTCCTCAGCTGTTACTTTTTCTAAGTAACAGAGTCGCAGCTGGGACTCTGTTACACACACAATTTAACAATGTGTGCATGCATGTATGTGTGTATGCCCATGTAACTTCCTAGGGGTTTTTAAAGAAAGCAAACTGAACAGAAACACAGCTTCGTGTGGCTTCATGCTGGCACTTCCATGGTTCATCAAGAAGGTTGAAGTGTTTTTTAAATCCGTATCAATTCAACTGATATTGTGACTGACAGGAAACAATGTTATTTTTCTCCATGTGGATCAACACCACAGGGGGATAAGACTGTCAGCTTGCTAGTTGATTTCATAGATCCTGCTGACAGCAAGCAGTGGAGAGATTCCAGAATCTTGGGTTCCAATCCAGGCACTGGAGAGCATGATACTTGAGTGGCCACAGACTCTTCTGACCCTCATCTCCTTTTGCACTGTCCCTGCAACCTTTCTTTGTCTCAATCTGTCTCTTTCCCACCCTTGTCTCCTACTTACCATCCTGTTCTCCTCAGCCGTCCAGTCTCAGTCTCTACTCTTCAGACTTTTTATCCTAGTCTCCTTGCCAGGACAGCCCTAATTTTCCCTTCTGGACTCTCTATTCCAGTCCCACGCTACTGGTACTTCCAGATGTTGCCAGTCTCCTTCCTAAATATTCCAAGTGCCTGTCTCCTTGCGTAGCTTATCTCGGTTCTTAGCCTTTCCCCAGGGGATTCCAATATTAGTCCCCTCTGAACTCTCCCCCAAACACAGACCCTGACCTCAGTCATTAATAATTCCAGTCTTTTTATCCAGCAACCCCACTTCTCCCTTCATAGTCCAATTCCTCCTCAGATCTAGTCTCTGTTCCTAGTGTCTTTGTCCAGTCCATTACAGTCTTTTCCTCTTGCCTCCAGCTTTTTTTCTGATCTCAGTGGTCACTCCGTTTTCAATTTTATTCCTAGTACTTGCCACCTCATTTTCCTCATTGGAACTTCTAGGCAAACCCTAGCTGGGAGCTGGGGCCAGGGAGAGGGGCTAAACACCCCTTCCCCTGCTTAACCTTACTGCTGAATGCAACTGTGGAATACAAATCCCAGAGACACCTGGAAGCAAGAAGAGGAACTGATGAGAAACCATGCAGAATCCTGCTGCTGTAATTCTGGACTGCAAATCTGAGACCTTGGGGGCAGCAGGAAGAGGAAGTGAACACACAGCCGGAGAGCTGTGTTCTAGCATCCCCTGGCTTCTGGCCTGAGCCACTGCAGGCATGTGGCTGCATTTCCTGATTCAAAGGTAAATGCATATTCACTTCTGTTTCAATTTAATCTGTGCATCTTAGACTAACCTGCAAAGACTGAATCGATTCAGCCTCAGGCTTTTTGACTGTCTGTACTTAGCCCTTGGCTCAAGTGACTTGCCCAGTAACCCTGACATTGGCAAGAAGAGAAACTGGCTTTCTAGGCAGTATTTCATCTTCCTTAACCACGAGACCATGCTTTGTCCTTCTTCAATCCCTTGCTCACTCACTATTTAACCATCCCATTTCTGCAACAAATGAGGTAAGGGTTGTTATAGGCAACAGCCTCATTTACTATACAATCTTGATTTATCCCTTCAGCATTGGTCAACCTGTGCATTGACAGAAACGGGGGGGGTCTCTGGAAAAATCATATACAGTTATGTAATTAAAGACTGGGTTGTAATAAGCACATGCAAAGGGGACAAATTTATTTTCTACTGGAAACAGTTTTAAATTTTGGGTGCTTGACTGCAGCCTTAATATTCTTTTAACATGGGTTATTTTGTATATAAAGGTAACACAAACATGAATCTGGTCTCACTTAATACATTTTACATTGGTGTAATTTTTCAAGGTAGTTATTTGAGATTTACGGTGCCTTTGGAGCAGAACAAGGCATCATTTATCTCTTTCTTATGAACCATGCTTCCCCTTTCAAGCCCTATGCAAACTACAATGTCTGCATTGCAAATACCTCTAAAAAAGGAACTCTGTATTTCAGAGATAACATGTTTCACATGTAAGATATGACTTCCCATACACAAGACATTGTTATTGCTATTAACTGACTTCTAGAATAAATATTTCTGAACCTATCTATCTGTAAAATGCAAACTGGGCCTCTTCTACCTCCGTCACATGTATTTTTAAAGATTTACAGCTAGCCCTTTCTGAATTGGCTCATTCTCGTTTTCTGAGCTATAATTGCTATTTCTGAGAGGATAAAAGCCCTGACTTTTCCCTTTTACGATCATACACAAATTTATGGGGCTTTGTTGAATAGAAGGCAGAAGACAGATTTTATGGCTTGTTGTTCCACTATTTTTCATGTTTAGTTGGAAAACAGAAAGTTTTGTGTAAATGCACTGGAACTTCTACAAAGTCTCAGATAAAAGTAAGCTGTAAAATATATGTACTTTACATAGGTAACAGTAGATAACCTTTCCATATTCTGCTATCATTACGAAATTATGTTTCAAGAATTACTCCGGTCAACAGAAAGAAATTAATTTTGCTTATAAATGAAGGGTACAGACTTTTCCAGGAAATCCTCCACATATAAACTTTTCTTCCATTGATCCAGCACTGAAATATCCATCATTTCTTGCATCAAAGCAACTGAAACTATAACAGAAAAATAAATTAATAAAACAAAACCTCAGAGAAGTCATATTAAAATTAGTTTTACTTTTACAGGTAAACATAACCTTCCAGAGCCCAGTAATACTGTAGTTAGTACAGAATGAAAAAGAACTGCTCTTGGTTTCCATTAAGAGACTAAAAGTAAACAGAAATACATGGGAAATTATAAATACTGGCATATTCATTTTTAAGTCACCTCTTAGCATAGAATATACTCCTCCTTATTGGCCGTGTCTACATGAGACACTGACTGCATAGTAGCTCATTACTACTGTGTAGTAGCATCGCATGGCATGAAGTGTGATGTGATGCTACTGTGCAGTAGTAACAAGTTACTGTGCAGTCAGCCTCACCTAAAAGCCGTTTGGCAACACTACCGCACATTAACTCTGGTTACTGTGCAGTAATTTAGTATTTGTGTATGCAAATACTAAATGACTGCACAGAAACAACTGTGCAGTTAGCATCTCATGTAGACACAGCGTCTTTGTATTAAATCTCACTATTTTCAAATCCCCCACAAATTTCAGTTTTTAACTTTCACTTATTTTCTACTGTTATTCTCCTTTCGAGAATCAGAGGTGTAACAACACAGCCAGGCACCCGGGGCAGCTGCAACACATGAGGACCTCGGTGACTTCTGCCTGCCACCATGCCACTGGCACAATTGGGCAGCAGTGGTGGCAGTGGTTTTTTTTCTTCCAACCCTTCCATTCCTGACAAGTTAGTGACCAGGATGGCTACCCTGATTGCCCTGCCCTAGTTATGCTGCTGTTCAGAACTGTTTGCATCCTGTTTATACTGGATGATCTGTTATGTTTATCTGCCCAATTAATTTGTAAGATCCTCAGATTTTCCTACAAGTAAAACAAGAAGATGCTCATGTATTGTGATATATATAATTGAATATGCATTATATCCATGCACCTGTTACTTCAGTAGTATATGCAATTTTATCTTCAGATACTGTAAGTCAGCACACTGTGAACACCAGAACTAGTACTTCAACCAGAAGCATCAATTCTGATTGTTGTAGCTACCAGTTTTTCATCTTGTTCAAAATGAATCTGAACTAAAAATTAGAGATAAGTATAACCTACTTCTAGTCCAAGGCCTCCTATACTTGTCATCAGCAAAGACTCCACTATGGTAATAATTCTCCTCATGATGTAAACAGGGAGGAATGTAAAGTGATAATCGGTCAATGAAAAATGTCTGCCTTGCCATATTCTGCAGAAAAAATAATAAGATATAATTATGAAATATACTGTTGTATCATTTCTCCTTTTGAATAGTACATCTCAAACAGTCCCAATGGTTTGAACTGCACAGTACTGTAAATGTGGAAGAGTCTGGCCCAGGAGAAAATCTTTAATTTGCTGAGCCAGATGGTTAGCTACTAATCTTCACGTGAGCATGTGCAAAACTGCACATCCGCCTTGTTGTGCCTGCCCGTTAAAGCTTCAGTTACCCTTATATTCAGCAACACTAGTATAAATCTGTTGAACAAACTAGGACATGCACATGCATAGAAGCCATTTTAAGGATTCCTATCGTGTCTGCGGTCAATACTCCAATTTTTAAAAATAGCAGTTGTCTTATGCCAATATGAGCTCACTACATCTTTCTGTCTTCTTAAATTGTAATAGGTATTTAGTTACATTTTAATTCTGCAGACCCAATGTAAAACTCTACAGGCTATTGATCCTGCTCACAAGCCTACTAAATAGTCTACTATTTAATGCTGAGGTTGGTAAATGGTAAATTTCCATTTAAGACCAGATTTCATGAACTGTCCCTACTCCTGTGCCACAAAGACCCACAAACAGCACAAAAATAAGGAGGATGAGAGGACTACTGAGGAGCCTAAGGAGGAATGGGTAGCATGCAGAGAAAGAAAAAAGAAATCTAAAAAAGGAGCTCAGAGTGATGAGCAGGACAGTAACTGACAGTATAAAGATGATAATTTGGGAGGAGGCAGATTTCCACGACCTAGAACTAGGACAGATGTTTGGAAAAGGCAAAGGTAGATAGCAGAAACACATACTGAAGAATACTATTGAGGAGGCTAGAGACCTATTTGTTACCACATCTATGCTCTCTGCCCCACTTAGAAATGTCTCTCAGATCTGGGACAGAAGTTCAATAAAGTGATTTAATCTACATCAGTTAAGTCTGATACTACATCCATACAGGTTTCTCTTAAACCAGTTCTGCCGTTTTGAAAGCAGTTTATGTGCACTGAATTTCTAGTGTGTTACAGATTTGAACCAGTTTCTAATCACTTATACCAGTTTATGCGTAATTTTTGTCCCTGGCCTCAGTTTTTAGAATTTTAGCAATGCAGTGCCAGCCTCACTGCCACTACTCAGTTGGAGGATCTGGCTCTGGTTTGTAATGATGGAACTCAGCTGACAAACCAGAGATGTTTGTTAACTGGGGAGGCTGGCAGAGGAACATACCTGGTTAGTTGCATTCCTGACAGCTCTTTGGAGTCAATGAGCTCTCCTGTCCTAGTTGCAATAAACTGGAAAAGAGGAATGCAAAGCAAAAGGCACTAGCATGGATGCCTCCTCTGAAAGGACATAATTACTGACATGTAACCAACTCAGTCATGTCAACCCCTACAGTAGAACACAAGCCTTCTCCTACTACAATTGCCTGCTCCTTTCAAGTAGAAAGCAAAAAATGTTCCTGTGTATTTTTTTTTCTAAAAGGCTCCATCGAAATCCAACAAAACATGTTACTGATTGAATGCACTCTCTTGTGTGTGTGACAGACAAAGTGTGCAAGTTCCACAGACTGCCCCCTTTTCTACCAGCTCTAAGAGCAGACGATAGAAACTGGAAACTGAACCAAGGTTCGCTGTATGTTGCTGAAGAGACAGAGGACTTCTGCCTGCACACTAGACCTAACTAATTAAAACTTTTTCCTAACCCACCTGCATGTACTGTAAAAAAAAAATGTATAATGAAATTCCGAGCAGACATAAAAAACCCCCCAGTTATAAAATAATGATACAAATTTCTTGTCCTAACACTTGCATATTCTGATGACATAATTGCTAAAACGTACTGCACAGACTACATGATAATGTGCATTTAGATAATTTGCCAGCTGGTGATTAAATGGAAATTACTAGCAAAATAAATGCCAGCAGTAAAGTGACAAAGTTTAGCAAGAAAATGTAAACATGGGTGTGCAGTTTTCTGAGAATTATGTTAGCCTAATTGTTTAGAATTAAACTGATTTTCAATCAACAAAGTTTGGAAATGGGAACAAATATATCCTATGGGTATGTTAACATATAGTGGCTTGAAAAAAAGGAAAATGTACATTTTTTGTAAAATTTAAAAAAATAAAATATTACTGTGAATGTATGGTTTAAGGTGATCCACTTTAGAAAATTAATTAGCATATACCACATATTGCTTTTCTGTCAAATTTGTAAATGTCTTTCTTATGTTTAAGGACTAATACTGACATATGCATGATTCTTAACCAACACAAACAAATTATTACTTTTCTATAATATTCACATTGTCATCAGAAACACTGTGAATTTTACAGTTCCATTACAATCTATTAGCTCTTCTCCATGATAAGCTAAGGAGGCGAAGTCTGGAGGTCTAGAAAGGCCAGTTTGCAATCTCCTATAAGAACAGTCTTATTAGTACAGAGAATATGATTAACAGATAAAGTTATACTATGTGAAACATCAAGCCTACTTCATAATTCAGTTGGATAAGACAACATGTAAAGTAAGAACAGGCCATGAAAGGAACAAGAAACGAGTACATTAAGAATAGAACTCCCTACAAAATTGGACCACTAGAATGAGCAAGAGCCAGAGAAAGAGATTTAGAGTAAAATCTGATTAATTTGTCTCTTCAAGGGGGATTGGTAATGATGACTAATTATCTTTGAGTAATTTTGAGAAGTTAGCCATTCTCAACTTTTTGCAAGACATATTTTGCATCCCATATGGAAACACAGTAAATAATTATTGTTGACATTTATAATGAAGAAAAGATAGATTGCCAAAATTCTAAGGGCAAACTGTGCACATCTAGCTTGCCATATGAGAACAGCAAAACCTCAAATACAAGCTGAGTTTTTTTTCCCTTAACTGGCATGGGGAAAAAGGCCCCTTATCTTGTAATTGCATACAAAGAAATCTCACTTAATACATTATCTATCATTAAACTGCTGTCAGCAGAAGTGTTTGTTCAGCACTGGACACCAACTACTGATTAATGTAGCCAACACTGAGCATGACTATTAGAACATATGGCCCACAATGGGCAAACATAATGATGGGAACCTACCACAAGAATAGGTTAGTGTAGACCACTTGAATAAAACATATGGTAGTGCCCATTAAGCGCAGTCCCCCTCACCAATGACTTTTTCTCAAGTCATGGTGAACCACAACATTGCATACTCTGGTCGGGCCCAGCTCAGTGAGCTGTGTGGTAAATTACGAGCCTTTGATTTTGGATATATACCATGCATAGTTTATACTACATACAAGTAGGTGCCAAAGTGCTGCTCAAAAGTGTGTTTAGGGATTATCTGTGCTAAAACTTATAGCAGTTTAAAAAATAAGGTAACATGCATCAACTATGGCTGAATTAAGTGCCTGGGTACTATATGCAAATTGCTATAACCATATTTAATTTCAAGGTTATTGTTTTCAACATTGGTGACACGTAGGGGGTGCACGTGCACCCCATGAGATTGGCCGTGCACCCTCTAGAAGTGCCACCCGCGAAACCGGAAGTGCTAAAGGAAGTGCACTTCCAGTTTTGCTACTGGCTTGGACCCTCATCTCCCCCGGTCGGTGACCTGGTGCCCCCCCAAACTCAGGAGGCACCAGTCGCTCATGGTTTTCAAATCTGCTCTTCACTTCCACATGCTCAGGGAGAGCAGGATCTGACAGTAAAGAGAAGGGGAAGGGGCTGCCAGGGGAAAAAGTTGGGGGGAAGCAGAGAGCAAAGGGCTACTGATCCCCCGGATTTATATTCCCTGATGTAGCTGTGGGAAGGGGACAAATTCATCTCTCAAAAACATAATCCTTGAAGCACAGGGCAAAGCCATACCATCTCACAAGAAATGCAGTCAATGGGCAAGGAAGCCCCCATGGCTTAATAAGGAACTGTTGGACCTCATTAAGCTCAAAAGAGTAGCCTACACCAGCTGGAAAACATGAAGGATTACCAAAGAGGATTACTCTGCACTCGCCTGCACCTATAGAGAGTGATCAAGAAAAGCCAAGGCACAAATCAAACTCAGGCTAGCTATGGGAATCAAGGACAACAAAAAGTCCTTTTTCAGATACGTGGGAAGTCGGAAACAGAACAAAGATAGCATTGGGCCCCTGCGAGATCCAATGGGCCAACTGACGCCTGACATCTAAGAAAGGGCCAATCTCCTAAATTACTTTTTTGCATAGGTTTTTCACCCTCCCAGGAGGATCACACTGTCAGGAACAGCAGAAACCAATCCGGGAGCGGGAGACAGGCCCAAAATTGATGTGGACCAGGTGAGGGAACACCTTGAGAAACTGCACGTTCACAATGCACCAGCCCAGACGGAATGTACCCAAAAGTCTTGAAGGAGCTGCCAGACATCATTGCATCCCCCTTGGCAGAGATATTTAAAAATTCGTGGTGCTCGGGTGAGGTCCCAGGTGATTGGAAAAGAGTCAAAGTGGTCCCTATCTACAAGAAAGGGAGGGGGGATGACCTGGGGAACTATAGACCAATCAGTCTTACGTCTGTCCCTGGAAAAATCCTGGAGAAAATTGTCAAGCAATCCATCAATGCCAGACTAACAGAAGGCAAGCTTCTGAATGCCAGCCAACATGGCTTTGTGACTGGCAGGTCTTGCCTGACCAACCTTATCTCCTATGACCAGGTAACATGTGCCCTGAACAAGGGAGATAATGTGGACATCATATATCTGGATTTCAAGAACGTCTTTGACCTAGTTCCCCATGATGTCCTCATGGTTAAGCTGGGGAACTGTGGCCTTGATCATCATACAGTCTGATGGCTAGGCAACAGGCTACGCTAGTTTGGTTGGACCCAAAGAGTACTAGCTGAAGGGAGAAAATCAACATGGTGTAGGGTGACCACTGGAGTCCCTCAAGGCTCCGTACTTGGGCCAGTACTCTTTAACATCTTCATCAGTGATCTGGATTCAGGAGTCAGATATGAACTGGCCAAGTTCGCGGATGATACCAAATTATGGGGGAGGGCGGTCACACAGCAGGACAGGCTAGGGATACAGGCTGACTTGGACACGCTCTAAAGGTGGGCTGACTCAAAACTGATGGCCTTCAATGCAGAGAAATGTAAGGTGCTCAACCTCGGTAGGAAGAATCTCCAACATACTTACAGGCTTGGTAGCACCACGACTGAAAGGGACTTGGGGGTCTTGACTGACCACAAGATGAATATGAGAGACCGATGTGATGCTGTGGCTGGCAAAGCTAACCAAACTCTGGTGTGCATCTATCGATGCATCTCAAGCAAAACCAGGGAAGTTATCTTCCCACTTTACTTGGCCCTGGTGAGACCGCAGCTGGAGTACTGTGTGCAATTTTGGGCCCCCCACTTCAGGAAGGATGTGGAGAAGCTTGAGAGAGTCCAGAGGAGAGCCACTCATATGATCCTAGGCTTGGAGGAAAGGCTGAGGGACTTGGGACTCTTCAGTATGGAGAAGAGAAGGCTTAGAGGGACTTGGTGGCAGCCTACAATTACATAGACGGGTACATCAGGACCTGGGAGAACAGCTGTTCACCAGAGCTCCCCAAGGGATACCATGTCCTAACGGCCACAAACTCTAGGAAGGCCAATATAGACTAGACATAAGAAAAAAGTTCTTTATGATGCACGTGTCCAGGGTCTGGAACAAACTCCCCCACCCCCGACTCTACTCTTTCAAAAAACAGGTGGATATATTTTGTGCTGGGGTCACTTGATCCCAGCTGACTTCCCGCCTATGGCAGGGGGGCTGGACCCAATGATCACATGAAGTCCCTTCCAGCCCCTGTCTGTGAAATGTATGAAATTCAAGGCCAACCTCCAATAATTAAATTCTATACCTGAAAAATTAAAACAAATTTATAAATCTATATATAGAATCTAATTATTGGGGGGTCGTCTTATAATCAGGGTCATCTATTCAAGTAAATATGGTAATTAACTAGCTTTCATTGTATATGCTTGCTGCTCTCTCTCTTGTGATGTGGCTACTATTTGGCAATTATTTTTGATCCAGCAATGCACTGGATCACAAACTCCATATGAGATCAACTTCAGTTCTAAGATTTTAGTAGCATGATGGAAGTGGGGAGTGAGGAGCAATGGAACTGCAATTCAGAGCAGCCTATCACTGTACTGTCAAATATGTTTTAGTGGCTTAGATTATGGTCAAGCTGTTAGCTTCCCCCAGTGCATGTGCTGAAGTACAGGTCTCAAGAGGAGCACAAGCTGTGCCTAGCTGGAGAAGAAGTCAGGTATGTTACCATGAATTTCTCTTCCACCTATCCTGTCTGCTGTGTTCTGCCAGCATTTTTTTATTCCTCCAAAACTCAAAAAAGAAAAGACAAGATTGAATTTATATTTTCTTTTTTCAAAATAGTTTCTCTCCTCTTGTATGTTTTTCACTCACATTTCAGTCTTTTGCAGGCACTGTAGTAGTAACAGAAGGTTAAATCATCTATTGGAGACTACCGAAGGAATGTATGCGTACTAGGGCTGGATATCAGCTTGAGTTTCCCAGCTTATCTAACTGGAGCTACAGAGTGAAATACTAAAAATTCAATGAAACACTAGACAGATACTCTGCCATACAGCATAGTTGCACTATGGACTACTTTCTGCCTGCTGAAGAAAGGAATGTGGGCAGGGTATTTATGGCTATGGTCCTTTGTGTACCCTCAGGTATTTGCAGTGGAAGGAATGCAGGCTACATCTTTTTAAAGATGCTGCATACTGCACTGGCAATGAACTCTTAGAGGTACTACATCTTAATGCCTCTCTTTGCTGCTCATACACCAGAACTGTTGCCTCTAGGCACAGCACTTCACTGGAGGACTAGTTTGTGATTTGGCCTGCAGTTTTTAGAATATCTGAAATGAGAGAAACTTATATTACAGTGGGACAATGTGCTTCAGTAGCAAGCAACTGAAACTTAATAACAAGAGGCAAGGATTTTTTGGGGGTGATATCTTTTCTTGGACCAGCTACATGGTCTTCAGGTCTGGGGAAGAAAGCAAGCACAGCAACTGTTATGACTGTGCATGCTTCCTTCCCAACCATGCAGTTGGTCCAATAAAATATATCACCCCTCAAAATCTTTGTTTCTTGCATAATTCCATCAATTGTGGATGAATTAAGTTGGATGATGACAGGTACAATGTCACTCTAACACTATTTAATAACATGCACAATTGAAGACAGGAGGAGAGCAAGACTTCATGAGGTTTGTGTGTCTTAATTCAGTCGTATCAAGCTCATCTGACCCCACAGACTAGAGGCAGGGATGTGGGAGCGGTCTCCAGGCTGGATCTGGTCCACAGTCTGGCCATGCATGCTGGAGCCAGTCCACAGGGCCATTCTGGTGCAGGCACTGCATTAAGCATGTGCCCTGGACCAGCCCCATGTGCTGCTTGCAGCATGTTAACACTGGCTGTAGCCCCCAATGCTGCATCCAGCCTGCCCTGGCCCTGTGCATGGCACATGGCATGTAGGGTAGGTTGTGAATTGGATACTTCACACAGTTCATGGGGCCAGTCTGGAGTGCTTGTTGCATGTGGCCCTCACAGGGGCAGGTTTATGGGTCTGATCTGGACAAGCCCAGGATCCAGCCAGCAGGGCCAGTTTTATACAAAGCACTGCATGTCTCTGTGCCCCAGCTTGGCCCTACACATTGTGTCCAGCACACTAGCACCTGTTCCTACACGCTGTGTGCAGCATGTGCTGGCCCCAGACCAGTGTGGCACTTGGCATACAGGGCCAATCTAGAGCTCATGCAACATGTGGCATCAACACCAAATTTGCCCTATATGCTGGATCTAGAACAGTGAGTCTGTGGGCCCAATCTGGATCAGCCCCGGATCCAGCATGCAGGGCTGGTCATCAGAGTGCACGTGCATGTCTGAGACCCACAGGCAGTACTGTGGTCAGGTGATAGGGCTCTGGATCTTTGACATCCTTATCTTAACTGATAAACATCTACAGAACTAAAATGCTCCTTGCAGCTAAAATGATGTCAACAAATATGTGCATTCCATAGCCCTGAATTTCATTTAAAACACATAGTAGTAAATGCCTTTCCTAACATCACAGCATCAAGGGAGCATAAAATATTGAGAAATACTATTTTACTGCATATTGAAGTAGAAAGAAAATTGGATTCATTCTCCAAAATAGGTACTTAAAGAATTTTTATGCTTTAAAAGCCACAGCACACTCTCTAAACTGAGCTACAAACAGGAACCTGGCTTTAAAACACTATCATAAGTGCAGCAGACCATCAAAGAGTGTGTTCTTCAGTTTTGGCAAATTCTACTTTGACTTGTATTAAAATGCTCACAATTGCTTCACCCTGATATGCCACTAAGAGAATTATAGTCTTGCGTAATGCAACAATGCTGTAAAAAAGAACTCATTTAAATTGAATCTTTAAATAATTTGTTCCTTCATATGATTTTTTAAGATGTATACTAAGTGCTGCATGCAATTATTTCCAACACATTTCCTACAGAATGAGAAAAGCAAAACAATAAAACTGTACCTCATATAAATAGTCTACTGCACAATATTTAAAAGCTGCAAACATCATCTTTCTCGTTCTGCAATGTAGTCAAGTCTTCACTTCCCTGAAACAAATGTAAGATAAGAATTTCTCACAAAGCTTTAGCAGCACACCAAACCTTCACAACCAAGTGCTGTTATCTTAATTCAATAAGACATTAACCTCTTAAGTCCTGTACATGGGGGTGGATCTAGAATTTTGGAAAAGGGGTGCATGGAGAGAGGTGCCTCATAACATATGAAACAACACATTTCATAGACATCAGGGCTGGAAGGGACCTCGGAAGATCATCAAGTCCAGCCCCCCGCCCAAAGGGCAGGAAGTCAGCTGGGGTCATAGGATCCCAGCAAGATAAGCATCCAGTTTCATCTTGAAGGTGTTCAATGAAGGCGCTTGAACCACCTCCGGTGGCAGGCTGTTCCAGACCTTGGGGGCTCGGACAGTAAAGAAGTTCTTCCTTATGTCCAGCCTGAAACAATCTTGAAGTAGTTTGTGACCATTCGACCTCGTCATCTCTTGGGGCGCTCTGGTGAACAAACGTTCCCCCAGATGCTGGTGGTCACCCCTGATAAACTTGTAGGTGGCCATCAGATCACCCCTGAGCCTGCGCTTTTTCAGGCTAAAGAGCCCCAGGGCGCTCAGCCTGTCATCGTAGGGTCTGCTTCCCTGACCTCTGATCATGCGCGTGGCTCTTCTCTGGACTCTCTCAAGCTTCTCCACATCCTTTTTGAATTGTGGAGCCCAAAACTGGACACAGTACTCCAGCTGCGGCCTCACTAAGGCCGAGTACAGTGGGAGAATGACGTCCCGGGATTTGCTTGAGAAGCATCTATGGATGCAAGCCAG